CATGTCTCCCTTCCCCCTTAGTGACCCATTTTCTATCATGTATCATTCTCTGACTGAGGAATGAAAGCCAATCACCAAATCTCAGTCTGCAGGCTAGACCATCCGTGTACTGACTGCCAAGTGCATTTGAATACCAGAATGAATCACCACCACTCTAATTCCACTGAGTGAAAGCCCACAGAAAAAAAGGCACTTTTTTTGTAAAGAAAAGCTATTTGAATGTGATAGTCAATTTTAATTGCTAACTCAGATCAGCAATACAAAATTTCATTCTCTCAAATTTATTAACAGCTAGCAACAACTTATTGCCATTTTAATGATAGAAGGCATTGGTGGCACGGACGTAATGTTCTTCAGTTACTAGTGTTTAGGCTGCTAAGGATGTTCCCAATGACCAGAGAGTTCAGAACCAGGGGTCACAGTTTAAGGAGGTGAGGGAGGCCATTTAAGACTGAAATGAGGAGCAATTTCTTCACCAGAGATCGGTGAGACTGTGGAATTCTCTGCCACAGAAAGCAGTTGAGTCCAAAATATTGTTCGTTTTCAAGAAAGAGTTAGATATATTTCTTTGGGCTAAAACCATCAAGGGATTTGGGGGGAAAGCTGGGACAAGGTACTGAGTTAGATAACCATGATCATATTGAATGACAGAGCAGTTCCAAAGGACTGAATGGCCTGCTGTTGCCCCTATTTTTGAGTTCCTATGTAGTATTCTAGGAACAGGAGTTCAAATCCCACCATGGCAACTTGCTTAATTTGGAATTTAAATTGCTTCATGAATGCAGTGGTATGCCCTCAACTCCTAGTTAGTCAGAAAATCTTTAAACCTTCAGGATTGTCATTGAGACTTCAGAAATTACACACTTTTTTAAAAATAGAATCCCTACAGTGTGGATCCCTTCAGCCCAACAAGTCCACACCAACTCTCAGAGCATCTGACCCAGACCCTTCCCCTATAAGCCACCTAATCCACACATCCCTGAACACTACAGGCAATTTAGCATGGCCAATCCACCTAACCTGCACATCTTTGGACTGTGGGAGGAAACCCACGCAGACACGGGGAGAATGTGCAAACTCCACACAGACAGTAGCCCAAGGTTGAAATCGAACGCAGATCTCTGGCGCTGTGAGGCAGCAGTTCTAACTATTGAGCCACTGTGCCGCCCTGTTGCATTACAGTAGTGATTATTGTTTAAAGTAGGACATTGTAAGCATGGTAAGACATCTGGTGGCTGAGAAAAGTGCTATATAAATACAGCTCTATTATTTTTGCCCTGGAGATCGCTGCAAGTGAGCCAGGAGACAATCCATAAGGAAAGTTAGTGAAAACTTTGGTGCTTTTATTTTCATTTTAACTTTTATTGTAAAATGTTTCATTGTTTAGTGATTATGAAAATATTGGAGACAAGAAAAAGACTATTTGACTGCAGAGGGCAGTTCAAAGAGCAGGCCATTTCAGGAAACGCTAGGAGTATTGCCTATCAGAGTTCACAGCTCTATGCCAATCGCATGTGATGTGTTTGGAAAGGTGTCAAGTTCATTATCCAGCTGGTGAACTGAAACATGCTCTTGAGAGACAGCATTATTTTCTTTTGCACATTCTAATGGTACTTGTTAAGTAATTCAGAGGTTTTCTGAAGAATAAGGACATTGCAAGAATTTTTACAGTGTACAATTATTGGACAGGACAGATCAACACAACAAGAATTATTACCAAATGTTGTATTAATTGGAAACAAATAGCAGTCAGTAGTAAATCTAATTACTCCCCTGGATAAATGTACTTTCAGCAGGTAATTGTAAATGGATCTAAAATCAAATTAGGAAATTTATGCCAAAGGAGTGAAGTGTGCTATATTGGTTCATAAGGCAACATTGTACGTATTGTAACCAGTTATGTATCAGGTCAGTTTCCCAGCACCAATGAATGTTAGAGAGTAAAAGGGTAAAGAGATAAAAAAGCTAAAGAAAGCTTGGTCCCCATTTAATAAAGAATAAATAAATAGTTACTAGCTTGGTAAATTAACTTAAAATTTGAGATCAAATTATGAGCCACGTTTTGATGACATTTGAACTGATTGAACAAGGATCTGGTAGTGGGTTGTTCGCATGTTGATGAATTATTAAGATTGTGGAATGAGTGATCAAATTTTTGGGCTTAGCGAATCACTTAGTTATTTTAGTTTGTTTACAGTAAATTGGCTCCTCGTGAATATGTGGGATGACAAATCCTGAAAACTGATTACTTCACTTTGTTTATAGGAAAGGCAGTTTTTCATATACACGCCAGATATTGAGAAATTCAGTATTTACCACCTCTATCCTTGACTCCTTGTGTAAAGGTGTTAATTCAAAAGTTTTGTGCAGGCCAGGTGAATTGGCTGTGCTAAATTGCCCATAGTGTTCAGCGATGTGTAGATTAGGTGGGTTATAGGGAATGGGTCTGGGCGGGATGCTGTGAGGGTCAGTGTGGACTTGTTGGGCCAAAGGGCCTGTTTCCACGCTGTAGGAATTCTGTGAAATTTCTGTTTCTTCCAAGTAATAGATACATGGAAATTCATCAAAATTGGCTCCTGCCCCTTGCTCTATTACAGAGAAAGAAGGTAGCTATTTGAATGTCCGTTGAGGTCTTTCTTATTCTTCAAGAATTTTTGGTGGTAAAGTTGACAGAATATGGACAAATTAGCCTTCTTAACATCACTGACTTAGAGTTATGGAATCACACAGCACGGAAACAGATCCTTCAGTCCAACTTGTCCACTTCTTTAATAACTTAGCTTGAAGTCAGTGCCCTTCTAGGATTTAAAAGCTGGAAAACTGAAAAAGCAAATAGCAGGTGATTAAAATCAGCAAGATAAAAGAAAGATCAGTGTTTCAGTTGGGACTTTTCCATCAGAATTCACGTTCTTTGTTGGTATGATTGAGCAGTCAATCAACAATGAAAAAAATGCTTTTATTGATAAGAAAATTATAGCTTGAGCAAATAGTTATTGGGGAATTTCAAAGAGTATTGAAATCTGGTTGGTAAGTGGAACAGAGGAAGCACCTCATTACAAAACTGCAGAACTTTAGCAATTTATTACCTGGATTGATGGGTCCAATGAAACTGGAAGTGTTTGCATCTTTTCAATAGATTGTTAAAAACCAGTTTGTCATTAGATTAGGAACTTGTCTGTAAATCTGTGGCTGCAGCAATAACTATTTTGCCATTTGCAAACTGCAGCTATATGTGTGGATAGAATCATACAGAAGGAACTATGACATAGTTTGGACTGAAATCATCAGATTAATATTCTTGGGGTTAACGTCACTTGCTAAGTCCTGAAGTGCAGTGTCTGTCATGTACAAACATTAATAAATATTGCTGGACTCCCTCTCCGCTGGGCACAAGAACTAACAGTCACAGTCAGTAACCAAACCACTGCTGCTTTGTTGTTCTGAGAAAATCAAAAGTCCACAAAATCTGGTGAATTTTAAAAGCAAGATGTTTTTAAGCACATTTTGTCAAGCTGATACAATGACATACAACACCTGAAATGTATAAAAATTGATATACAAAAATAAATGGCTTGTGGGACGGCATTTGCTTAAAGCAATTACGTTGAAATACTCAAACTCCATGGGTCCAGAGCAGCATTGTAATTTTGCAATAAGATAAAGAAGCAACGGTTGGCCGTATGGCTCCTTGAGCCTGCCCCATCGTTTAGTAAGATTGTGACTGGTCTTATACCACAAATCCACTTTCCCATGCAACTCTTCTCCCTTGGTTTGTTTACTGATGTGGACATCCTCCCCATCTTCCTCACCCTTTTAAGATTAGTATATTCTTCTTTTGGTAAGGAGATCACAATAATGCACAGTATTCCAAGTAAAAAGGAATGTCACTACTGTGAGACAATGATGGTAAGTTTAACTTGAACGGCACTTCACCGCAGGCAAAAAGGGAAAGGTTGAGAAGGTAGAACCTTCATGGTTGCCTTAGCCAGTATGAGAATTAAACCCATGTTATTGTAGCATACTGCATGGCAGACCAGCTGTCCACCAACTGAGCTAACCAACCCAAACATGCTGTGGCCTCAACAAAACACTTCTGCATCAATTATAGTTGGAAGAACAATTCCTTTTACATACTCTAAAACTTTAGCAATGAAGGCAAACAAATGTATTCACTTTACTTAATTGCTTGTTATTATTTTATTTTATTATTATTAGTTTTTATGATCTGTTTCCAAAATATTAGCAGAAACACTACTTTGGAATCTGATGGTCAATTAGATGGGACCCTCATCATTTATTTGTGATAGAACAAATTGTTGGAGTGGTAGGGTTCTTTAAGATTGGCATTGGCATTCCTGGGTTAGGGAGGAGAAAATCCTTTCTTTTTTCTTATTGCTGGTTTATTTTTAACCTTACTGGAAGTCTGCATATTCGGACATCAAATAAAGTCAAAATTGTATACGGTTCTGAAAATTGCCTTTCAGTGTTCACCATCAAAACTCACAAATGAATACTGGCTACTTGTCAGGAGATCCAAGGACAATTAATACCCTCCAGAGCTTTATTCAGCAAAGAGTTTATAATTATAGGAAAAGGATGTTGAGGAGAAATCAGCAAAATGAAAACCTTTAATAGTAACCAACTTCATACATTTAAAACATTGAACTATGATTGGTCCAAAAACAAATTATTTTGATGGACTGCAGTCAACAATTTTCAGCAGTTGAGATAATCTTTGGTAGAAACTGTTCTCATTGATTCCTTGAATGAAGCATATTCCAGTTCAGAATTAATGGCTTCCAGGGGAAAATGGATTGTTGAACTTTGGTAGCTTCAATTCTAAGTTTCATTCGTAAATATGCCAATTGAGGAAAACAGTGGTCCCTCACTGGGCTACTTCTCTGGACAATACAGAGTTATGATTTTCGGGTGCACTTTAACGGAAAAATTGTGCATCATATTCTGTAACACCATTCAACAACTGACCCTCTTTTCCCCAGGTCGTCCCATCCCACATTCATCATCGCCCAGCCACCCATTTGCCCAGCAGACCAGCACCCATCTTTCATCATCTAGTGTGAAAGACTACCAAATGCCATTGCTTGACAGCAGCGTCTCTCATCCAGCTCTCGAGTCCAACCCTAATGAAGAGTTCGCCATAAACTCATACCTATTGCGAGCAGGTTCTGGTGCACTGCCACCCCCCAGTAATGGTAAGAATCTATGCTTATATCTGCCTAAATTCACATTCAATGCTACCTTGTTCTTTTTGCAGAGGTTTGCCCTCTCATCCCATCTGTGTGACTCTCTTACAATTACATTTTCTCTTGCACATCAACTGGCCTTGTTCATTGTTAATCCACAGGCAAGTTATTGAAATTTCCTTTTGCTAAATAAGTAGATAGTACAGCATATTGGTGATGTAAGGATGTATTCTTTCTGCTGAAAGAATATTACAATAGATAAAACATGAAATGAAAGATTTTTTTTCTTCTTGTTCTTAAAATTTATTTTCTCTTCCTTTCTGTAATTTGGGAGTTCTGAATTTTTTTGTTCATTAATCACATTTTCCAAGATTTCCTTCATCAATGATGCTGTTTCCTATTTTGAATCCATTTGTTTCACTGTGATAATTTAGAGTGCACATTGTAAAGAAATATAATTACAGTTCTTCTCAGGATCCATTACATCATTGTGGTAATTCATTTATTTTTTGTAGAAGGGACATCAATCATAGCTGCTGTAACTGCCTGGGCAAATGAATTTAACAATTCTAAGACAAAGTAATTGGGAAAAGCAACATTGAAATTGAATTGGAATATGGAAAATTCCAATTTATGTTAAGATAATGGAATACTTTTCCTAAAACCCACCATTTCAAAACATCATTAAATGTTAAACTGTAATGTGGACAGTCTCAAATTCTGACCAAAACTACATTCCATTGAGTCAGAAAGTGGATTGTGCCTATCTTGTACTCTTTCTTCCCTTGCTCTATGTCTCATTGCCCACAACTTTCCAGTTCCCAAGTTCTATTTGAAAGTGAGAGAGAATTTATTTTTTCAACGATAGAATCTGTCTGCGTGTGGCCTTTTGTTAACCCCCTTTCATGAAATCATGCCACTCGGAATGAGATCATTGTCTATGCACATTGTTGGAAAAAGTTATCCCATTAGTTCCACTCTGTTCCATCCCAGATTCCTTACACTTTCTTCCTTCTTTCTATTTCATTGGCTAAAAACCATTTGAGACATATGGTGGCCATGTGAAGCGATAAATAATTGTGTCTTTTCCATTTTTTTTCTTCAAGTATATATCCAATTCCCCTTTGAAATGTATTATTGAATCTGTTTCCACCATCCTTTCAGGCAGTACATTTCAGATCATTACAAATCATTGTGTAAAAAAAGAAATGATTTCTCATTTCCCCTCTGCTTCTTTTGCCAATTACCTTTATTCACACTCACAATTATATTGTCTTGTGGTTCACTGCAACAGTTAGAAATGTATATACTCAAGTCTGAAAAATAACTCAAAGGAAAGAAGGAAAATTGAACAACTGTGTCCCTGGAGAGTCCTGCATTTAAACAATATTGCTGACTCTGTATTTTAATAAAATGCAGTATGAAAGCAAATTTAATTAATTGCATTGGTCAGCAAATCCTATAACGTTGACACTGGAGATGATGTAGTAGCCATTTTAAATGCAGAGCGGATGGTTTCAAACACCACAGCATGTTGGTAATGTTCTTTCACCATTTATTTCAAATGATGGAAAGGATGGACTCATTTGATTTTAATTGCAATAGTTCTGCATTAAAATATATAATCAGTGATGCAATTATATATTGTTGACATTGTGCACCGAACAATGATTTACAGCCCGTGATACCAAACACTTATGGGATTGTAAAATGGTAATGGTTTTTTTTAATATGTATTGCAGCACCTCAATAACCTTTCTATAACAAAAACAGAAATTGCTGGAAAAACACAGTTGGTCTGGCAGCATTTGTGGAGAGAAAGCAGAATTAATGTTTTAGGTCCAGTGACCCTTCTTCAGAACTGATTGTAGTTAGGAAAGGGTTGGTGTATTTGCTGAGTATGGGGTGGTTGGAAGCAGGGGAAGAGTGAACGATAGGGAAAGATGGAGCCCAGAGAGAGAGAAAAACAGTTGGGCAGACAAAGGAATGGGTAAAGATCAACCTGGGAGAATGATTAACTGCTAATGGAGGGCTATTAGTGGCTGACAATGGATTGTTTGTGATAGCAGCCCATGAGATGACAAGGTCTGGTGTGTGGGAGTTAGACTAATGACATAGAAGAAAGTGCTCAGGACCTAAAATTATTGAACTTAATATTGACTGCTAAAGGCTGCATGGTCCCCAAACAGAAAATGAGATGCTGTTCTTCCATCTTGTGCTGAGCTTCACTGGAACACTGCAGCAAGCCTGAGACACAGACGTTGGCCAGGGAACATGGTAATGTGTTGAAGTGGCAGGCAACAGGAAGCTCAGGGTCAATTTTGTGGACTGAATGTAGATGTTCTGCAAAGCGGGCACCCAGTCTGCATTTCATCTCCCCAGTGTTGAGGAAACCACATTGTGAGCAGTGAATACAGTGGACTAGACTGAGTGTAGTGCAGGTAAATCACTGCTTAACCTCCAATATGTATCTAGGGCCTTGAATAGTAAGGAAGGAGAAGGTAAATGGGCAGGGTTAGAACACGGAATATCCCACATACCGCACAAAGAGACAGGTATAACTGTGGCCCATGCAAGTACCTATAGCCACACCTCTGACCTAAAGAAAATGAGAGGAGTTAGGGGAGATTGTTCAAAGTGAGGATGAACTTGGCCAGGTGAAGGAGGGTGGTGTAAGATGGGGACAGTTCATATATAACCATCGGATGTTGGATTTTATTATGATGTTCATTGTTGAGAATTTTACACTCCTGGCCAGGCTGTATGCTATTAAAGCAGCTGTCACAATTTTAGTGCTGGAAAAGGAAATAATACAATAATCTTCTTCTTTGTCACTGGTCATTTTATTTCTCATTTATTCTTTCATGGAATGTGGGCATTGCTGGGAAGGCTAGCATTAGTTGTACATTCCTAGTTATCCTTGAACTGACTGGCTGGCTGGCTTGTCAGAAGGCAACGCTTAATTGCCCCCGTTGTGGAGTCACATGTAGTCCAGACCATAGTATGATGATTTGATTTTATTTGATTTATTGTTATCACATGTAGATAGTTATAATGAAAAGTTGTATCAGAGATAGTAGGAACTGCAGATGCTGGAGAATCTGAGATAACAAGGTGTAGAGCTGGATGAACACAGCAGGCCAAGCAGCATCATAGGAGCAGGAAGGCTGACGTTTCGGGCCTTGACCCTTCTTCAGAAATCTAGGCCCGAAACATCAGTCTTCCTGCTCCTATGATGCCGCTTGGCCTGCTGTATTCATCCAGCTCTACATCTATAATGAAAAGTTCTTTGTTTTACATGCAGTACAGGTAATATCAAAGTTGCCTTACCTAAATTTAGTAACTTTGTTGTTTTTTATGAGAATCAATAATAGTTTCATGGGCACCATTATTGAGATCAGTTTTATATCCTACGCTTCTTTCATTAATTGAATTTAAATTCTACCAGCTGCCATGGTGAGATTTAAATCTATTTTTCCTAAAGCATTAGCCTGGGCCTCTCTGAATTAGTCGGTGAGTGACATGACTACCACAGTATCATTTCCCCCTCACAGCAGTCAGGTCATACTCTGATGTGTTCTGATGAAATACCTCACAGCATTTTCAATCATACCTGTATGAAGTTATTAGCAAAACATAGATGCTATCCAACAACTGGAACCTGTATAATGTTGGTATTATTAGCACAACTGATTTCAGTGTGAAAATGTGCCTTGGAAAAAAGCTATTCTTTTATCCCCACCTACCTGTCTTATTCAGGTCAGTAACAAGGTGTTGAATCAGGAAAGGACAAATGAGCCACTAATTTTAATCCTTCCATAATCCAGCTACTACTTTCTCTCTTATTGAATGTACTCAAACAAATCAGCTGAACCACAGTTAAACCCACAGCTTCTCTGTTTCTTCTGTACCACAATGTACTTGAGCAAAATAACAGGATAATCCAATCTCATAAACCATACGAATTAACCCTGACTGGTTGCATTCATCATGGACCGAGCAACATGCTTTTTGCATTCCTGGACAGGATATAAACTAGACTACGCTGGAAGCACTTATGACCATTCTCTTTATCACAGCTTTTTCTTAGATCAGAATCAGCTCACAGGTTCTAATTTCTTCATTTCTGAAATTCCTTATCTCTTCATCTTGCCTTTGTATGACAACTTTCATATATTTACAATCTGAACTTGGTGCCATCTAATTAACGTCTCCTTATTTATCATCTTCTGTTTAACTGTTTTGAGACTTGGCAAGTGGTCCTTATCTTTTATCAAAATTGTTCAATTCAAACAAAGCATTTCACATTATCCTTATAACTATACTTTATAAACAGATATTTCAACCTTTTTGTTTTAAAGGAGTCTTTAGGACAATACCTATTCACCTTATGAGGCCCCATTCAACAGTATAGATTTCATGGCAATTCTTTTTGAAGCAGAGCAGGGATTTCTCACAATGTCATGATCAATGTCCTGCCTCAAACAACTCTACAAAAAGCAGATTGCATAGCCTTCCATTGAATTGCTGTTTGGAGGATGTAGCTATATCATGAATCATAGAATCCCTACAGTGTGAAAGCAGGCCATTCAGCCCATTGAGTCCACACTGACCCTTCAAACAGCATCCCACCCAGACCCACCCCCGCCCCATCGTATCCCTGCATTTCCCATGGCTAACCCACCTAGCCTGGATATCCTTGAATACTATGGGCAATATAGCTTGGCCAGTCCACCTAACCTGCACATCTTTGGATCTTGGGAGGAAACCAGTGGACGCAGCGCAAACCCACGCTGACATAGGGAGAACGTACAAACTCCATGCAGACAGTCACCTGAGGCTGGAAATTGAACCTGGGTCACTGGCACTGTGAGGCAGCAGTGCTAACCACTGAGCCACAGTGCTGCCTTATCCTATATGTAAAATGGTTAGGATATTCCACCACATAATGAAATTTTTCACATACCAGGTGAGTCACTGTCTTGGAAACTTACTCATTGAAGTCGACA